CGATGCCATCGGCCGATGGCATCGGCGTGGAAAATCGCCTGGTGTGTCCACTCAATCGCCGCCGATTTCATCGCCCGATGCCATCGGCCGATGCCATCGCACAGATCAAAACGTTTTGATATTATCGCCCGATGCAATCGCCCGATGCAATCGCCTGGTGTGTCCGCGACCGGCAATAACATCGCCCGATTGTACAATTCATCAGCCAATCAGAGTTCATCAGTCAATCGCACTGCGCGCGCAAGAATCGGGCGATGCTATCGCCCGATGCCATCGCCCGATGCAATCGCCTGGTGTGTCCACGACTGCGCGATAGAATCGGGCGATGCCATCGCCCGATGCAATCGCCTGGTGTGTCCACGACTGCGCGATAGAATCGGGCGATGCCATCGCCCGATGCAATCGCCTGGTGTGTCCGGCCCTTTACTGGATTAAATAGAAAGGCACTTGTTCCTGAGAATTGCTTGCTTGGTGAATTTCCACTTACCTTTTCTCCACTTGAGTAGAAAAAATATAATAACTTTACAATGTTGCAGTGTTCTAACTGACGCATGAGCTGTAATTCTCGATTCTGAAACAGAGAGGCTGATCATTACGTTGTGACACTTACCATAAATGTTTTGCTAAAATTATTAGTTTACATTCTATGTTATCGAAATGACTTATGTAATTAACAAACATATATAATAACGGAAAATAGGGTTACGGTAACCCGCCCCATACGGAATTTGTAAATTATAAACACTAAACTCAGGGTATGGAGACATACATAAATTATACATTATGACCCTTACACTCGGGCTACAAAACGTCAAACTGCTATTTAGGAATTTTTCATAACAATTAGCAGGATTTCTAATCCAAAAAAATGGCGTGCTGACTTTCCATGTCCTGTTAACCCCGTTTTAATTATCAAGATTAAATAGCCAATATGTTTTACAATGTTAAGTTGTGTTCATGATCATGCAGTTATTTGGCTAGACCAGTAGACTGGGCAATTACCTAATTCTGGCTAAAATATTTGTCATAGAAACACAAATAGATCTCTTAAAAGTCAATAGGAAAAAAGTGATTCAGTAGTGTTATGAAAGCACAGTTCAATATTGAGAAATAGAGAGATAGATTGCAAGGGAAATAAACGCGACAATAAAAATAATAAAGCACAATGACAGAGACTATGACCTCGAGTGCCGTGCGGCATATGCACGACGTTACCCGGGTTTTGCAAGACATAGTTCGCACGTTTGCGATTTCTAGTGAAGGTGAAAGCCGTAAAATAGCCATTAGCATTCACGGGAAAAACAGGTAATAAACCTGAAAAGTAGGCGAACAGTAAAGATGCCGACTAGGGGTTACACCATCTACATGCAAATGAACGGGGCAGCTGGTTTATAGTAGAGCACCGGCACAGGTCAGAAAGAAGTCCCTTTCGCACCACTTACCAAAAGGCGTTTAAACTTCCCGACAGTTTATTTTCCCCAGTTTCTGCCAGCTTCCACTGCTCATGTAACGATTCGTCACTGCCTTAGCCGGCCCTTATGTCTGCGACACTCACCGCTTCTATTGCGCATGGCAGAGACTTTCGACCCCCTCTCTCTTCGCCTCTTCTCCCTGGGCCCTTGTCTGGACTGCACTTGGCACGCTTTTCTCAATGAGCTGATCAAAGCTGAGCCGGAACTTAGTTACATTTCTGGGTAGCCGTACACTCCCTGTCACCGTGCGCTTCTAGGTAGAGGTCGGCTGTTTCCACAACCTCTGCCATATCCTTCAGTCATTTCTCTTTCAGGAACACGCCAAGGTTTTTCGCACACGCCAACAGGAATTGTTTCCTGAGGACTAGGTCCATCAGTCCCTCATAGTCTTTTTCCACGTATCCCATCTCCATTCACCGGTTCAGGTAGTTGTCTATACGGTCTACAAACTGACTGGGGGTTTCCCCTAGCAGGGGATTACTATAACTTGGTTTACTGGAACTTGGTTTGAAATCCTTTGGCCGTTAGCTGAAACCTCTTGCATCCTTTAGGCAATTGTATTCAGCGCTTGGGCCGGGGATACTCTCGCATATACTGCTAAAGCTTTCCCTTTGAGCAGAGCGCTTAGATGCAAAGCCCTATCAGCCTGCTCCCACCCAACACTGTCAGCATACCTCTCAAACCTTCGTATATAATCATCTATGTTTTCCTGACTCTCGTCAAATGAAGCCAACTTCGGGACGCTGGCTTTAGCTCTGGTCTGCCCATTTCCGGTGGGGGGGGGGCTTCATTCTGATCACCCCTCTAAATACTCTTTCCATTTGAATTTGTTTTTCCAGCACCTCCTTTTCTAACGTTGTTTCTTTCAACCTCATTTCTCTCTCTAATGTGCATTTCTCCTCCTCTTCTTACTGCTTTTCTTTATCTTCTACAAATCGAACTAGTTGCTCACCGGCCAAGCCTAACTTCGCCCCGATCTCCACCCTTCCCTCATAAAACTCCGCCATTTCTATATCAGTTTTATTTGATAAAAAAGGTGTATAGGTGCACACTTAGTATAAGGCCAATGCCAGCGTTAGGTCAAAATTTCGTTTACAGAGCTGCAGTTGTACTCACAGCTTTTTCTACAATGTAGACATGAATTCCAACAGACATGAAGCATTCTTACCTTAAACCGTTTATCCTGCAACACCTTCTTAATGGCGATCATATCACCAGTGTTGCACAGCTTAGCCTGGTACACGACGCCAAATGATCCATTCCCAATCACTTTTGCATCTGAGTATGACACTTCATGTGGCCGATCAGGCCCGATTCCAGGCGTCACTACTACTGTCGTTACCTTGCTGCTATCTTTGGCTGCAAGAGTGAAATGATTTTATTATTACCAAATACATTTTTGTATCACTAGGATTTGAAACCGTGATTAAAGCTACAGATGAATGAAAAATGACAAAAATATTTGTTAGAAATCTGGTTACTTTTTTTATAATGATAATTATAATAAATTATTATATATATAAATTATGTACACTATAAAATACCATTAACCTACATCAACACATTTTTTCAGATTTATTTTGCATGTTACAGACCGAGAGCTAATCACAAAACTGCACTTATATTTACACCGCTGTTGTAAGCAAATGTATGGCCATCACTTTTAAATCGACTACGTCACGATTTTTCTATGGTGAATATTTATAAAATTTTGGTTGAAAATTTTTTACATGACAAGTAAACTAAATATGTATGCCCAGAGGTGTCATTGATCAAATAAAATGCAGACTAAAGCCTAAGTGGATCCTTAAGCACGTAGGGCTAGGCCTAACAACTATATACAAACACGATATGCACCACAATAATTAATGATAATGGATGATAATGGATGGATGATAATAGACTTTTACGTGCCCCAATTTAGATATGTTATATACTATCCACCTAGGATATATATTAACATATTAAGCAACTATAGTTCTTAGTCTACATAAAATAGCCATGATTTTTGCCAACGATCTTTGCGTACTATTAAAAATGTGATACCACACAAAGTAATAATATTACCAGTCCTGTAAACATTACTGTCAGGGTCTTCCATCAATGTAAGACACAAATTATATTTCAGAGGGTGTACGTTTGTCATGCATCTACGCCCTATATTAATTCTACATAATAATCAATTCAAGTGAAAAAAAACTCTGAACTAGTAGTGCCAAAGATATTCTCAACATTGGTTTGACAAGTGTTGATGTAATGTGTAAATTGTAGTAGTGGCGTTTAAAAGCCTTAATTATATGCCTTGCTTACACTTGCAATGTTACCATTGCATTTTCAGCTTGTTTCTATGACTGCTATATTTGATAACGATCCAAGATATTGATTTTAACATTGTTGCTATGGTAACTAGGCCTTATTCTATTTGCACAGCAGTATTACACCTTCATTAGTTAGTGCATGGAAAGGTGGACCAACATATTTAGGATTGTTACACGAAAACCAAGAATAACCTTTCCTATATTTTGCATGACAAACTTGATCTTGTAATGTCTATCCATCCAATCAAATTCAAATAATAAAAAATCGTCTCATCCTCCAGAACCAGCAATCGAACTACACCATTAAATCGGGGAGGGCATTTGCATGTACTACACAGATAAACACATATCTGATAATCCACGCTCATAATTTTTATTATTATATAAATACATCTTCATATATATATTATATATTATATATATATATATATATATATATATATATATATGAATCCATCGACATATATAACAATTAATACCACAGAGAAACTTTCCATCACCTAGAGAAAGCGTCTGCATAAAATGATCGCCGTGTGAAATACCGCATTTACTCGCGTATAAGCCACATTCGTGTATATGTCACGCCCTATATTTTACCATGAAAAGTTGGTACAAAACTTTTATAATCGAAATTTACATGGAAGATGAGACTACAAGAGCCAGGGAGGTTTTCAAATGACATTACATGTCTTATTAGGGGAGTTGGACAAATAAAAGAGTCGCCATGTTAAAACAAAATAAATTACGAACATGATTATGGAATAGCCGCTACATACATAATACGTGACTGTAAAGTATATTATAATATCAAAGAAGTCATAGAAAAAGTAACATAGGAAACTAGACAGTGCACTCACGGAGAGTGCATACCCCCGCCAGCGACATACGCCATACGACTCACGAACACACGAATAACCGATGATATACGCCAGTGTGCTCGCTCGCTTGTAGCAGCCGCTCGTTGCTGCTGCTCGCTGACATGTACACGCTCGCTGGCTCGCTGCACTGGCTGGCTCGCTGACTCGAGGCGCTAATATCGATCGCGCGAACACACTAACACACTAACACACGAACACACGAGAGCGAAAACATAACCTCCCCTCCAACTCCGTTGGGCGGCGGTAATAAGTTGAAAAGATGAACGAAAACTTTTTTGTAAGATACAACAATATCATAAATATTGTTGTAAAAATAGCCATGTTCTAAAATAAAACATTACAAAAAATTCCAGGGACCGTTTACTAATTCATACTATGGCTAAAAGTTTAGGTCCCAACTCTGCGTTTTTGAGAAATGTGTAACAAGCAATTTTTGTATAAATTTACAATTTTTGCTGTGACGTAATTAGTGATAAATTTTTTATGATTATATTCATCATGAATGTGGAGAGACATCTCGTTTAAATTTATTATCTTTTTTTATTAAATAGTTATGTGCTTGATCGAATTTGGTGAGCAGTTTAAGTTATGTTGTAATACGGTGACCTGTCTGTAACCCTGACTACATCCTTGAAGCGAATTAAATAATTACTTCATTAAGTCATAAATAATAAATAATTAAGTGTTTGTCCTCTGAGTGAATGAGCAGTTATCCCTGACTGATCAATTAATATTATTAATAATGAATTAATTATGAAACCAGTTGGCAAGCTCAAAAGACCAGGAGCCCGTTGTCAGAAACAAAATTAGTCTTAACATTAGTCTTAGCATGAACTTTTTCTCTTACACCGTCGACAGAAACGCTGCGAAGTTACCTGAATGAAAAATCGTAGCAGATTTCCTCATAACAATACGAAACAAAGTGCTGCCAATGGTCTACGAGAAAATGTTAGTGTTAAGACTAATGTTAAGACTAATTTTGTTTCTGACAATGGGCTCCGGACCTAGAATGACATTTCCGGGCTTATTTTTAGTCGCAATTTTAAAAATTGCCAAATAGCGAAAGAGAAAATCCCAACGTTTACGTTGATGTGCATATCATTAGTGTTTCCCCGATTACACGTGGCTTGAAATCGAAGTTAATTTCGGCATTTTCTCTCATGGTTTTAGGAAAATCTATGCAAGTTTGTGAGGGATAGGGTCTACAAAATGTTAAATTAGAACATTATATCGACCACTGTGCACTTCGGCAAATAAAAATTGAGTATGTTTTCTAGTCAAATTAATAAAAAACGAAAAATCGATAAAATGAATGCTCTACTGTGTATTTGGCCTGTAGAGAAAAATCTCTACTTGCTACATCTGACTCATTTTGCCAGATCGGGTCACAAATAAGTGACCTCCATCTAAAAAGCAGAGATGCAAATCGTTAATTGAAAGTCAAATGGTATGAGAAATGGCTGTCCACATACCCATAACCCAGTCTACCTAGGTGTTACATTAGACCGCTCTCTAACCTACAAGGATCACCTCACCAAGACAAAGGCCAATGTGGGTGCCAGAAACAGTATCCCGAAGCTGGCCAATATTAAATTGGGAACAGATGCTAGGACAATCAGAACACAAGGACAAGCACACAAAAATGGGCACATTGTGCACTTTTGGTTAGAATTGTGAAACTTTGCACACACATACTACAGAAGGTCCTGCAGATTGTCTGATAGTGCCAATTGAACAGCGCCACCTGCTGGCGTACAGCACCACATTGCGAGTTAACAGGTATCACATTATACTACTATTTGGGTTTTTGGCTATAATTTCAATAATACTTATCTAATTTATTCTCAAAATAGCTCAAATGATTCGTAGTTAATACTATAACAGCAATTTAGTGAGTGTAGCTATCTGTGAGTTGTAATAAAATTAGGTTGAATCAATGAAATGAGTTAAAAATAATGAACATTTTCCTTCCATTAGTATATTAAATGACCGATATATCAAAAATTGTCTAGTCTGCATGAGCATGCTATATATGTCAGAATGCTCCTTATTTAGTAGGCAAACACGTTATGTAAACAAGATTATGGTGATGATGCTATAATAATGGTTTCAAGCCTTTATTACCAAACATAACACGTGATGATTTATATCAAACATAACCTTAAAGGGATCGTTTACTCTAGGTTCTAGAGTTATTTTCAGTTAATTTAGGTTAAAATTACGCTACATAAAAAGTTTCATGGTTCAATCACCATTAGAAATATTATTAAAAAATGTTTTAAAACTAACGACTACAGTTTGATTACAACGACGGTGGCGCCACTCAAAGCGCACGATCTGATAAGTTGCGCAAAACCACTTTTCAGCCTAGGGCTACAGACCGAGGGTGTTTCTTATTTATTAATTTAAAAGCAAAAGGATTGTAATATCTTATAAACGACATAATTATATAGTTTCAGTTATAATATGGATAAATTTGCCCTAAAATGAATATCGTTCGGTTAAATAGCATTTAGGTATAAATCTAATTGCACTTTTGTGATTAGCCCTCAGTCTGTATCAAGCAAAATAAATTGTCAAATACGCAACTTTTTCGGGGTGGCAGCACGGTCGCGGGTGTCATGGCGCCGTTCAAATTTCGTAGCGTTGATGTGTAATTAATTATAACAATTAAATTAGGTATCTGGTAACAAATGCGTGTGGGTATAGACGATTGCAGTTGTATGCAGTAAAATCCTAGAGTCTACTATCCCTTTAAAACATCCAGAGGAAGCCCTGCTTATTATGAACTCTTATTCCATGTCAGTATTACCAGTTTACTGTGTTACATGACTAAATGTCAAAACATAATTATTTGACACTGTTTATTTATTTGTATTTACAATTGTGCAAAACCTATTTCTTTTGCAAGAAAAATTTCCCGAATCTCCAAATATATAATGGAAGTAATTAATTAAATCAGAAAATGTAATTAACATTCCGGAGTTTTAATTTACGAGCTTTTTCCTGGAACACTTTACGTCTGTAACATGTTTAATAATAATAGACCTAGTGCTATAATTGTGAACATAATACTTCATCCAGGGACAGCTCAGGCATGAGAACAGGTTAAGATGTTTTTGGAGGAAATGTTTCAATTCGTGCCAAAGGCACGATAACAGTGTGCATAGCACACATGTCCTGCTAGGGGGGTCTGGGGGCGTACCCCCCAAGAAATTTTTGAAATTTGGAAGGGCAGATAGGCCATTTCCATGCATACTGGAGAAAATTGTAAGTCCATTCCGATCTTAGTAAAAGACACATTTCGTGACTAACAATTCAAAGTATTGTCATTTTCTATGAAATTTCAATGTTTTATGTGGTGGTTAACCATGGTAACCATGGTAGCATGCCTTAATTTACATTACATAGATACACCACGATATTTATCAGGAGTTCTGTTACGTCTGTGTGAAATTTGACGTACTTTTCCTGACTTTTTATGAAGTCTAAATTAAATATGGCGTCCATTTTGACAAAAAAGTACGCATTTCCCCCCCCCCCCCCCAGCACTTTTTATTAGTTTTTTGCATCAATCTCAAAAATGACTAAAATATAAAAACCAAAACCCGGAAATCTGTGAATCCGCAGAAAATTCTCATTGCCGGACAGCTACTCTATACAGTCAAAATCAATACACATAATTATAAGTACCTACATTTCTAAGACAATATACAGCCATTCACCGTGACTCGCGTGAAATTTCTACAAAAATCCAACTTTTAATGGTCTGGCAGTTGTATACTAGCTTGCTGCTACTTGTTTTAACAGGTAGCCAGGTATTCTTCTGATAAACTCACTGCACCGATCAAGTGCGCCTCCTGCCACCGCTTCCGCTCAGTAGCAATATCTATGAGATACTACAATACGGGATCTAAATCTATGAATGGCTTTGCTTACCTACGGTAGTCACAGTAACTAAGATAGCCTGTGTAACTTTAATGACTTCCGCTCATACATAACATGTTTTACATGATATGCGTCGAGCTGCGAGCGTAGTGGTGGTGATGGGAAGGGTGGGGGAGGGGGAAGAGGGACTCCTCTGAGGGAAGTGGGGGAAGGGCGGCGTGGTGGGGTTCTATATCGGCAAAGCATTCAGTGGCTATTGTTGTAAAACAGTCACAATCCATGTTTAAACGGCCCCTTTGGGGTCCAAGGTTGATCAGACACTTACTCTTCACACTGGCAGAGGAAAGCCCACATCATCTGTGATTCTTTTATAAAAGGGCCTAATTTACATTTAAATTTGATTAACCAGTTTCATTATTCTGTTAATAAAAAAAAATAACATCACTACTCTCACTTCAGTTTTCAACTTTGTGTATACACGTACTGGAATGGCTGTATCGCTTTTTGTCGCGAATATGGAAGAAGAGGAACAAACTATGCCTCCGCCGCCAATAAAAATCATACGTTTTACTCCTAGTCCTTACTTAGTGCGTTCGTGGTGTTTCTGCATCATGCTGAAAGACCGTCTATACTGGCAGACGAATGCCACGCAACAGTCAAATTGTGAGTCCCAAACGGTGACATCCAACTGAGGAATGTTGCATCTAGGCTGGCTTACTTGCATCGCTCATTACACTCTATATATCTAGTAAACAACATTTTGATTTGCAACGTTTTACGATGCGATCTTAAACAGATTGCCTTGGTTTTACAGGCAGCTTTCAATGCGAACTATTATCTGCCTGTACACTTATATATCATAATTAAGTGAGTTTTATATCAACAGAGCCGCAGAGTGTCTGCGCTCATAACTGAGTCCTGTACTACGGTTATAACCGTAGGAACATTTCATCGTAGCGTGAGGCGACCCTTTGTTAGGCGCAGATATGCAGCTACCGGCGTTGTCGTCACACTCCTTGTCAGCAACCTTCTGCATACTCTCCAAAACTCATTGGTTGATACAAATCGCGTGCCTGAACCTCCTGTTTTAATGGTGGGCTTGTGACCCTAACCTAACCCTATTTTTTTTTTATTATTTGTTCTTATTAATTTGTTGTAGAAGAATATGGGTAAATAATTTGCGTTACTTGGAACCAAAATATCTTGTTAAGTGGATAAGATCTAAAATACAGAAAACACTACAAGTAATACTAAAATTCGTTGGGATAAGATCCAACGACTTTTGAGCCGTGTGACTCCTGTGCTCTAGGCCGTTCGGTCTATCAGGTTATTGGCTTTTCAGATTATGGTAGTTGCCATGAATATCGCGAACTGTGAACTAATTAGGCAGTTTCAGGCAATCCACGTACTACCCTCTTTCTTGAGGGTCAAAAGGTTGTCAGACACTTGCTCTTCGCACGTCAGTGGAAAGCACATTTCATGTCCTTCAATAAAGTGATAAAATGGTAGAGTCAGCATGCGCTGACCCAAAAAAGTTTAAACACTCTGTCATTAGGCATGTCTCAGAAATCCTGATATCTGCCCTTCCCCGACTGCCTTTGACCTGGACACTCCATTTTGCACTGGTGAGGGCTTTCCTGCCCATTTGCAACTTAGCATCCGAATATTAAGGCATAGTTCAAGCCGTAAGATTTTGTGCGGCAATTCCGATTTCCTCCTATACGCCTAAGTTAAGGCGGAAATATCCCCCTCCGATTACACATCTTGACCTTTTGCGCTTTGACCGCCCAAATTGTCATACTGATCCTTTTCCCGATCCCCCCCCAGCCCGACGTTCGCAATATTTGACGTAAGTCGAGCGGTTTAAGATTTGTGGCGCCGAACGTGACGGACGCACGCCTGACTGGACGCACAGCCGGACACACGGACAATCATTGGCGATCTACAGAGCTGCCTCTGACGTTCGTCAGATGAGCAGAAACTATTACATTTATCATCATACATATTCGTTAATATTTTTTTAAACATACAAGACGGCCCTATAATTTTTGTTACCCCTCCCCATAATTCCACTCTCACAAAT